CTGAAATTTGGTTCAGACATTCATGGTCCTCTCAGGAAGAAGTGTAAGAAATTTGGTGATGCTCTGACTTTACATCTAGAACCAACTTCATAACACTGACATCATCCTCAGCTGGATGTTGTGTTTGCTGCTAATCAACAACTGCTAACTACACATGCTAACACATAAAGCTAAGATGGTGAACATGGTAAATATACCAGCTAAAGATCGCATGCTAGCTCTGTCACAATGAGCACGTTAACACTAGCATTTTGGTCTCAGGTACAGACTCAAAGAACAGCTAAATATCGCTGTTGAACACAGAAATGTGTTTCACCGTTGGCACAGTCTGCAAATCCTGACAATGTAGACTTTATATCATCATGTAGTTTAAGTACAGTACTTCTTAAAGGTCCACTATTACCAGTAAAATGCAGTATTCTCCTTGCCAAAACGTGACTAAAGCTAATAATGTGCCTTTATTTAACTGGTAATTTATCAAAGAGTATCAAACGTTAGCCAAACCTTTGTGCCAGTTTAAAACACTACTTAAATTGTCTCAATACAGGAAATCTTTTTTCTGGTCTAAATGCAAGATAAATAAAAAACCACATTGGTTAGTTTGATACTTTATAAGTCAAACTGAGTGTAGAGGGTCGCTGCTATGACTCAGCTGAAGGTCTGAGTAACCCAACGTCCCAGAATAATGTCTGAAATAGTACTGATTTTTAAAACTTCCTAGGTCTGCTAGGGTAATCAGCGTCTCCCTACAGTCTAATCAAATTCTCTGTCTCTGCACCTTCAAGTCTACAGGATTTCGAAATCTTTAAACTCAAACTCTTTCCACAGCAAATATTCAATGTTACTCTAATCTTCAACTCTTGCGAGATTTGATCCAATCAGATGTGAAAATGACACTGACGGCTGATATATGAGGTTTAATAAAAGGCCAATAATATCAGCAGCATGTCAGTGTAATCTAATCTGAATCCACCGCTATGGAGGAACACAGCAGATACTTCGGTGGGTAATAAATCTTGTCTCTCCTGCTTCTTCCTATACGAACAGTTACTATTTTATCTTCTTTTTCAACATCTCTTGTGTCTCAGCCTCTCGAATTCAGAATCAAAATGATCCCAGCTTATGAATGTTCGATTGGGTCTCTGTCTCTTTCTTTACAATGGTTCTCAGAAGTCAGAGGTGGTGCTCATTATCTCACTTCATACTTTTGTCTGATCTTTCCTCCCATGTCTCCTCTTTACTGCTCTGTTCAACTTCAAACAATCATGACGTAAGCAGATATTTTACAGCCTAAAAGTCGTCTTCACCTTCAGCTACAGTTTGTGTTTCTCACAGGAAAGGAAAGCTGTGATAAATCAGCCTCCATCCCTTTTAGGAGAGGTCACACTCTACTCATCCATCTACCCAAAAAAACTAGTTCCCCCCCCCTTTTATTTTGTTACACAAACAGATGCAGCAGTGTTCACACCGTCTAAACAAGGTCAAAGAGCTGTGAACACTTAAAAGTCTGTTTCAGTGCCATGTTCGTTAGAGCTTAACATGACTTCAGGATTACACCATCTACACACGTTACATGCAACAGCAGGTGGCCACACGTGACTGGTCCTATGTTGGGAATAGCTAAGACACATCAAAGATCTTTATAGCTCTGCCTTATTAAGGCTGCCTGTAGAACAAGCTGAGCAAGGAATCAGAAAACAGGACAGGAGGGATTTGTTTTTAGTAACAGGACGCGAGGACGTGTGAGGAATCGGGGGCCATCATGTAAACCCAGTATCCAGTCCTCAACGCATCCATGGTGTCACATAACACAGCACTGTCCTGACTAAGGATTCTGACAGGGTAAAGCACAGAGCCGATGACTCTGTGGCACGTGTCCGGCACATTTTCCCAGAGGAAGGGACTAAATAATCTCTATCATGGAGCATGCAAAACCTGAAACAGTCTGCAGCTTGAATCAGCCCACTTTTAAACTCTGGTTTAATTTAAGAGAGACTTTGAATTCACCCTCCCTGACTAGAAAACCTCTTGTAATTATGACTCACTATCTTATAATTTCACAACCTCATAATTACACAAACTCTGTGCATCAACTTTGAAGACGATGAACGGAGCGAGGCAACGCAAGGCACTGGCTGCCCAGGGAGACACCTGACCGGAAAATAAACTCCCAGTGCTGCCAAATGCACCAAACACAGAAGATGGATGAGGCAGAAAAACAAGATTCTGGGAGCGTTGTTTTTCAGGTTTTGCTGACTGAGCAACAGTGTCCAGACAATAACAAGCAGAAGAAGAATGTGACGTTTCGCTGCTGAGAGAGTGAATTACACGGAGGGTAAACCTCCATCCATTAAACATTAACTGTGTCGACAGTGATTGCTCCCCTCCTGATAATCACACACTTTATCTAATTAGACACACAAAGAGACAAGATCAGGAGGAGGAGGAGAAGACAAAGCAAAAAGGAGGAAGAGGAAAAACAAGGGGGAGGAGGTGAAAAAGAAAGGAGGAGGAGGAGAAGAGGACAGAAACCCCAGGGTGAGGAAGGGGAGAAAAAATATGAAGCACAATGAGGAGGAGGAGGAGAGGACTAAGAAGAAATGCAGATATCGATGAAGGAAAGGAAGGAAAATGAAAAAGGTCGAGGACTGTAGCCCATCACTGGTTTGCATGATGACAAGGTTCTGATTTGAAAACCAAACTGACCTTTATCCTGCTGCAGGAAGTAAAATCAAACGTCCATCAGGAACATGGTGGCAGCTGAGTCAGCAGGTCTACAGTGAACACAGCTAATGAGACTCAGAGCAGGAAGCTGACAAAGAAAGACAGAAGAAGAGGTTAACGGGTCTGATTGTGCTCAGTGCAAGCGGACAGACTTGCTGCTTCAGGTGACAGAACAAACAGAGCCACAACTTACACCTGCAAACTGAAGGTAATCTCGTCCGTTTCCTTTCAGCCTCGAGGGTCGTGGCTCTTCAGCAGCAGTTTTCTTTGACTCTTCATTTTCTTGATTAATCATTTGTCTATTAAACATCAGTTGAAGCCTGCGGTGACATTTTAGAGACCAAAATATTACCTAATTCAAACTTAACAGATTGACCAGCTACAAAAATAATTATGCAGCTGTGATATGTTCATCTGGAGTCTGGAGCCGAGGACAACCTGCAAACTGTAGGGGAGCAAGTGGGTCAACGCTGGTTCACTCCTCAGATTAGGGAGCCATTTTTCAGGGCTGGGCAGTAAAAGTCAAACTGGATTTCATCGTGAGTTTTAAAAAGTACTACACAGTGTTTCAGCAGTTTTCACAGCTAAAGCACATTTTCCTCCATCAACAAGTCAAAAAGACCAATGTCCTCTGACATCATGATGAAAAACCATCAGAAAGTGTGTTGTAGCTGCCTAACACGTGCACGAACACACCACTGCAACAACAGGGCTGATTACGACAGATGTGTCGGGCTGAGCAGTGAGGGGGAGCTCAGAGCAGTGAGCCAGAGAAGAAGAAAGAGTGGTGGTTAAAAAAAGCTAAAGGTGAAAAGATCACACAGGTCAGTTTTTGGACTTACACAAATAGATCTGGAAAACAAAAGCGTAGAAATGGAGGGAAACAGAAGTTAAACCGCACATCGGTGATGCTTCATCGTTTGAACGTGAGCCGATTGCTGACTGGAAACACGTCTTTAGACGTTTGGATTTCTGAAGAAGAAACTCCACCACTGAGAAATGAGCGGACGTCACCTGCGAGACAGAACA